TCACTCTGAGAAAACAAACTATCAAGTGAATGATATCACACACCAGGCCATTGCTCGAGTGGAACCCCTATGGGAAGCGGAGAGTTGGTTGTCATTGCGAGGGTGATATGGAAGAAGAGGTCATTTGAAGAAGAGATGAAAGCATGTGGGCAGACGTAGAGCCTGGTGATGAAAACGTTGGTAGAGAACCGAACGCAATGGAGACGGGTGGCGGATTCCCTATGTTCCTCTAGGAACTAAAGGAAACAATAATTAACAATACATTGGGTACAAGCATTTCTATGGGGGCATCGTTGATTGAGTATGCAGAATTGTTACCTTGACTTACAGAGGCTTAGGCATATGTATAATAAGTTTGTTAATCTAATCATTTGACCTTAAAAATGTTTTATCAATACAATAGAAACACAAATTTATAGAATCATTAATTGTTACATGGTTGTTTCCATGGTAAATAATATAAACAAAAGAGAAAAGTATTGTCTTTTAATGTAAGCTTTGAATCCTTACGACTGTTGATCGATATTACTCTGTCAGTACTATTCTGATCTTATCAGGAAAACGAAATTGAACAAGAAGATAGAAACATGTACATTTAAAATGAATGTTACTCAGAGCATTAATGTAAGTGTAGAACCTGACCACTGTGGTAGAATGTAATTCCCCTCTCTCACACTCCAACTAACTATATCACTTTTTAATATTCTCACCCTGTCCCATTCACTCTGTTTTGTGATTATATGCAAGTGAATGCAGCACAATGGCCAAGTTTTTTCTAGATAATTTAACTTAGTAGGGTCAATTATTCTAGGTCTAGCTAAAATTTTATGCCCCGATAATCTAATTAACTCCTATCTACTAGTTTTACCTATGGAATTGAGCTTACAGTCATTGCAGGGTATGTGGTGAATTATATTATATTCCTTAATTTGATCTATCAGGTTCTTTAACCGACATTTGGCTACGACTACTTTTGTATTACCCTAGTCCGATTTTGTAATAACTATGTCCAATTGAGAAAAAGAATAGAACTCATCAAATACCATGTAATGACTGTGAGTGAGGTCAATTACAAAGGTCAGCCAAACTAGTAGATCGGGGTCAATTAGATTATTGGAACATAAAAACTTAGGGTGCAGTAGGTTGAAGGTGAGGCAGTAACTCATCGAAGAAGACATCGCTAAGTGGTCGCGCTTTATCATGAATTGGCAGAAGTTAAAATTCATGTGCTGGCCAATGAATCGGGTCCCAATGGCTTAATGGTCTACGAGCTCGCTAGCCTTGTCACCGGAAGGGCCTGGGTTCGAACCCTGGCGGTCGGTGCGTGCTGGTGAAGAGTTCCAAACTAGGACGGAACATCTGTCCAGTACTCCCAGATCTTGCAATAGTTGTCTAACTGATGTCAGCTCATGATGACTTCCTCCAACATAAAAACTTAACTAGAACTAAAATAATTGACCCTACAAAGTTAATGCTCAGCCATTTCAGTACATTCACTTGCATATAATCACAAAATAGGGTGTTTGGGAAAGGTTTAGAGTATTGAAAAGTAATATAGTTAGGTGGAGAGTGAGAGAGAAAGAGATTAATCACTGAAGCTTTGTTTATCAATACAACACCGGATATGGAAAGTGGCAACAAACGACAAAGGAAGTTGGAGAGACAGGAAGTATTCATAAGACGAACTGTGAAGCTGTGTAACTAAAATTGATATGATTATGAGTGAGGGATAATTTATGCTCGAAACCTTGTCTGTCATCCAGTTGTTAACACTGCATCATCACTGTGTATTATTTGAAATCAAATCATGGCAACAGAAGACAAGGGCCAGGCAACAGATTGTTTATTAAGGAAATCAAGACATATTCTGATTTGACACTAGTAATTAGTGTGATGCGTCTAGTCCTCTCTTTGGTGCAGACTGAATTCTATCAGTCAGGGTGTAATGTGACCACCATTCTAGGTAGCTCGCCATCTCACTAGTTACTAGTGTCAAATCAGAATATCCACTACAGTCCTACAGGAGGTCAATCGCGAGCCCGAATAGCTCAGTGGTAACGTCTCTGACTGCAGCACTGGGTGACGCGGATTCGAAACTCAGAAGGGACATGAGTTCCTTCAAGGTTGCAGATACGCCTTGCTGGCGAGTGCCAACTAGCACGAAACCTAGGTCCAAGGCTTCCTGTGGTCTATTGCCTCCAACTATCTCATATCATCACAAATCAAGACATATTTATAGATTTTCATGTACATCATCATAGATTATTGTTAGCAGACAAACATAGTCTTTTGATTGGTTGTTTCTCACTGAAAGTTAATCTTTCATCTCTTTGTGGCTGTTTCTTGAATGTTAGATCATCTATCTGCTAATTGTATCCGCCTACGCAAGGTCTGCTGTGATTGTTTGTTGAATCAGTCTTTGTTCTTGTTCTTTTCTCACGACCAATCTTGAGAACGTAAACATTGACGTAAATTACTGTCTACCAATTTGGCTAGCAGCCAGCCCTCACCACAAACTTATCTAATATGGAATTACTCTGAGCACTTCGTCTTTCTTTTTCTGTTTTTGATATTGCTATTCATTCAAATTCATCTTGTGAAAATCATAGTTAGAGGTGAGAAATAACCACCTTCACCTTTAGAAACCAGAGATATTTAGATTGGAAAAGTGTGATCTGATTTATGCGATAAACATATAAGATCAAATTCGTCATTCGTATTTATACTGAGTAAGTGATATAGAATTCAGATGCTTTGAACCTGTTCGGAATCTGATCTGAGTCAATCCGGGTATACTGCTGATGAACGTGGTACGAAATAAGTGAAACAGTTGTCTGATGTGTAAATTACTTTAATCTAGTTGGCAAATCCTAGAGGTTGATTTCAGCGTTATCCAACCACTCAGGAATAGGTGTCGCCTGTAATTTATCTTTTCATGCGAATATGCAAACTACTTAATTAAAACAAGTAGTCAGATTGTAATTGTGAAAATAGTTGGTTCAATTTGGTTCAATGTGCTTACTTCACACTTGTCACACTAGCTATAGACAGATGGTTAAAAGTCTCATTTAACGCACATCCGTCAACTCTTCTGAAGTTACCTACATGCCCAAGCTTTTCGAATACAAGTGGGTTGTGAATAGTTTGGTAATGTACTTTGGACTTTGATTGGGGTGGGGGTAAAGTACAGAGCATATTTGAAGAAACTGATTGCTGTCTTATCAGTATATTTAAATGATATCGTAATCATTCTGGTATGTGAATTCCCTGTCTGTGAATATTAATTTCTGGCCAGTGGAAAAAGCCTTCTAAGATGTTTCAAACATGTCACTGATAGATATAAGAATAAAACTTGTGCACTGTGGTAGAGTGTAATTCCATTATGGGTAAATTTTATTTTGATAAAGTCTCACAGTGTTATACAGTAATGTTTACTGATGACGTTTCGAGCACAATTTATTGCTCATAATCATATCAAATCCAAATAAATTTAGGAAGTCGTGTGATTACCTTGATATGATTATGAGCAATAAATTGTGCTCGAAACGTCATCAGTAAACATCACTGTATAACACTGTGAGACTTTATCAAAATAAAATTTACCCATAATGTCACTGATAGAATAGTCGGGGAAGGTGAATTGCAAAATTCTGACTGCTTATTTTAAGCAGGTGATTAGTTTCTATAGTCTATGTTCATCTCGTGCGATTTTATGTAGACCTCCTAAGTATTGTAACTCCTGGGAATTTTGAAGTTCTTCGTCACTAGAATACTCCGTACATATTTTCCAGATCCTCAAGAGGAGAGCGTATTAGAGATTTCCTCTTTCTACTCAGAAGAATGTAATCAAGAAAATTGATACATTGTCGATTTCATGTGAGCTTTTTTACATGGATCTGCTTAGCGAGTTATCAACACTTTTTCACAGTTGGATATCGAGAGAATAGAAGATTGCGTCAGATTAAATATCTAGAACGAAGTCGATGTTTGGGTGGGCATTATTGAAGGTTAGGAGTAGGGTTCGGCGATGCAAAACTCTCATCATAAGTAATAATTGTGTCATCAATATATCTCGTGTAGAGATACAGCTCATTGATAGTTAGTGATAAGAAATTGTTTTCTAGGCTAGCCATAAAACAGTCAGCCAAGAGGGGTCCTAGAGGGGAACCTATTGCTACGTCATCTGTTTGCATGGCTGTGAGACATGGCCTTTGAAAGTGGAAGACATGAAAAGACCAGCTAGCTGTCTTTGATCGTAGTTGTTTGCATTCTATCTCCTGTGTTAATTGGTATAATAAGGTAAGCAATATTCAGGTTAGGCATCGGTCGAGTGCTAGGTGGGCAGGAGGAGAAATCAATCGACGACTTTGTGAAGTTACATCGATTGAAATGGTTAAGATATGTGGTAAGCATATCTGTCTAACTATCGCCTTCCATGGCTGGGAATGTTAGCTGACATAGGATGGATCAGTTTGGAAAAGGGAAAGCTAGTGGTGGTCAAACCAGAAGATGGCTTCATCAGTCAATGAAATCCATAACAGTTAGTTTAAGCCACCCAACCCTGTTGGGAGGTGTAGACTGCTTTCTGGTTTGGACCTTCGAGATGGTAACAGCCAGTGAAGTCTGGAGACAATTGGGGATATGGCTTAAAATCGTTCTTAATGATAGCAAAGATGCATTCACTCATTGTGATTTATCATATCCAATAAGACTGTTATTCTTTTATATTTCTAATCTTTTTGCCTCATATCTCCGTTTATCGTCTCTCTCTCTTTAATTTATTTTTGCCGTTCTTCTCTTGCTTTGTGTACTACAAGGAGGGAGTGTGGCAACCTGAACTGCTGCACATCTATGCAAAGTTCTACATTGAAACCAGGCAGTCAGTCATCTACGTGCCTGTAGATAATAAATACATATTTATATATAAACATTGAGTAGGTATTGAATAATAAATATATTTGCGTCGATTAAATATCTTTCTTATGTTTCGCACCCTCTAGGTATTCTGCTGCTGCACTGAACAACTTCGATCTATTATCATTAGATCATACAGACGAAATGCCTATCGATAATTGGTCAAAATCATCATCATCAAATAAACAAGGAAGAAGTAACAACACTCCCACTTCACGAACATCATCTCCGACATCTTTTGGTATATTCAGCAAAGTTGTCAGCAACAACAACAACAACAACAGCAATAATAATAATGATACCACTACTACTAATAGTAGTCTTAAAGCAATGCCTGTTAAAAGTGCTGTATGGGATAGTGAACATTTACGTGAAATAATAGCCCCGAAGCCGATACCACCATCATCGATTGCTGAAATCACGGCGTATAATTTACGCTGACTTTTGACTGATTGACTCCTTGTCAGGGAGAGGGACACTTTTAGGCGCCCAGAACCATACATACACATATATACATGTATTCATTTATATATATATATTCTCCATAGCTCTTTCTGTGTGTCACTCTGCACACACACAATAGACATACATAGGTGTCATGTACTTTTGTCTGTGTGTGTGTGTGTCTGTTTGAGATGTGCTCATTATGGTTCGTTCAGTTTATTGTTGAATTCGAGGTGATTATCGATCGTTATTCTATGTGATTCACACGCATCATATGTTGATATTTTTTAAGACAAGAATCTTTCCTCTGAGCTTTTGTTATTATTAATATTATTATTATTACTATTATTTCTGTTTATTATCTATTACGTAATATCATAATATCAAATAAACAAACAAATAAAATAACATAGAATTCTTTTGGGTTGGTTTGCTCATCTTTTGTACTTTTTGTTTTGCTATTATTATTATTATCATCATTATTATTGTGGTAAAAAACTATTTGTTTGTCGTTAATTTCTTATTGTTATTTATTATTAACTTGTACATGATTTCCTCGAGTTTTTAATTTTGGCGGTTTTTTTTGTTTTGTTTTACTCATCACCATGGTTGGTAATGAAGGAGGCAACTTTGACTTTTTGCGTAATATTTATTTGAATTTGAGTTGTGTATCGAAGTAAATTGTTATTATATTATGTTGGTTGGTTATTGCAGATCTGATTTATTATATTATTCTCCATATTGTTATTATTATTATTTGTATTGCAGATATTGTGATAGAGTCTGTCTGTCTGTTTGGTTTCAACATAGAACTTTGCACCGGTGTGCAGCGGTTCAAGTTGCCACACTTCACTCAGCAAACAAAAGCAAGAGAAGAAAGAAAAAAAGAAACGCGAAATAGAGACAGTAAAAAGAGATATGAGGCAAAAAGAATAGAAATGTGGAAGAGCAATATAGTTTTATTAGGTATTATAAGTCACAAGGAGTGGATGCGTCTGCGCCAGCCATTCACAGAGATTTTGAGCCATACCACTGATTGTCTCCAGCCTTCATTGATTTCTACCGTCCCGAAGACCCCAACCAGTCATGAAGTTTACATCTTCCTACGTGACTGAAGCGAACTGTTGTTGATTTCATTGACTGATGAAGTCTTGTTTTGGTTTGACCGTCGCTAAATATTTTCCAACCTGATCCATCCTATGTCAGCTAACATTGCCCATTGTCGACGAAGGCGATGGCTAGGCATACATGCGTAACACATGTCCTAACCATCTCATTCGAGTTGTGATAGAGATAGTTTAGGGTAGAGGTAGTGTGTGAAACAAAATTCTGATTGTTATTATTATCCACTTGTATTTTAAGTGGAATATTGATTTCTTCTTTACTATGTCCTCTTCAGTCGTTGTTTCTTAGCTGGCTACACAATTTTCCATAAACTGTTATTTCACCCTCGTCTTGAGATTATCTCCTCCATGTCACCCTGGGGTGACTTCTTTGGGAGTTTGACAAAGGCAGCCTTTCATCACAATTTGTAGGTACCTTTCTTCCTTTTTTGGGACCCCTTCTGCAATATTGCCATGAGCATGTCCGTTGACACATCTGGAACCGTTTTCAGTGCTTTTGTGGTAGTGGGGGGGGGGTACAGTAGGGATTCCTTTTCGTGCTACTTTTCTGCCTTTCAGTAGCTTTATCGTAGGTATTCAAGGCTTTCGCCTTTTCATACACTTATTCCTGCTAACAAATTTGAATGAAACAAGAACAATTATGTGCGTGAAACAAGGATGGTACCATCAACCCTGATTTCGTCGGTTCCTCTTCAGCTGCGTACAGTGTAAATCAATGAATTAAGTTTATGTACAGAACTACTTTAGCATATTCGCAAATGTAAGTTAATGACATCAGACTCCATGCTTAATAAATAGCACTCAGAAACTACACTCATGTTGTTTGTACCCAGGAAGTTCAAATTTGAACAAAATGTATGCATTCAATGGCAGAGGAGTTACGTAATAAAGACGAGAGATGCGTAAGATGCTGAGTGACTAATAAAATTAGGTAACTCAAGTCATGAAAACACGAGACAAGCAAAATTACATGATATCATAGTGTGGTGGGGGTGAGGTTAAAGCCAAAAATTACATAGCCAAATGAAAAAGAGAGAGATAATGAAGACATACAGTGACCAGGGCAAGGAAAGCCTGATAATTGCCTCTTTCTGAACGCATAAATCGGGTTTCAGGTGTTTCATAAAGACTGCTTCAGCAAATTTGAGGAAAACTGTGAACTATTTTGTCTATTAATAAATTTAAAGGAATTCGTGATGTCTACTGCATCATGAACTGTATTGTTGTGATGCCTGGCAATGAATGACATTATTGTAAACGTTTTTTCTCCCTTTAAGACGTAGGCTTTTTGGTCGAAGGTCTTGTGGTCTTCTTTCTGTTCTTCCGATGTTAGCGCCACATCAGATACATTTAAATTTGTAAACACTCTTAGAGTTAAAATGAGAAGGTTATTTCTCGACTTTTGATACCACGAGAAAGCGCATTGTTCGATAAATGGTAGCGAACTTAGCTGCAGGAGAAGTTCTAGTTTAAAACTCTTAGTCCCTTTTGTAAATTTGGATAGCGTTATCAGAAGACGGAGATTATCTGGAAACATATGTGATGAATTTGCGCCATACATTTCGAACAATCTGATCCCTAACACATTTACTTGTCAAGTCGATATATATGAAAAAATTAAGGGCAATTAAATTAAGCTAAGTGACAAAAAACAGGATTTAAGGATGATTAACTCAACGTTTGCTAATCCAATCAAATAAGGATTACCAAGGTAGGTTAAGAGTAACAATAAACTGTTTTTGAATACACAAGGGGGTGGGGCTTAAGTTTATGAATGGCTGTAGCCTCAGCGTATTTCAATAAGCGCCCTTGATCATTTTTGTAGATGACCTTAAAGGCTGAGTTAACATCAATCTTATGGTTCATCTCGATTAAGTGTGTAGCTATAAACGAAGTTAGTAGTCTGACACCTCCATCTATTGGTTTTCCACAATGTACTTCAGTTTGGTGACAAGCATCGAACATTTGATGGCGCATCTCTCGGTATCCGAGTTTGTTTGTAATATGTCTAGCCCAATGCTTGGTACGGACTAAACTCTATTAGTCAAGTTTGAAATGTGGTCATCATGCTAGCTAGCTGACTCACTACCAGGGTGCAGTGTAAACTGATGATATTAGATAGTGGGAGGTAATTGACAGGAAGTCTTGGGCTGATAGGGTTCAGTCTGCACTAAAGAAAGGACTAGATACATTACACTGGTTAATAACTAGTCTCCAATCGAAAGTATTCAGTGCAGTCCTACAGGGGGGCAATCGTGAGCCCGAATATTTAGCTCAATGGTAACGTCTCTGACTGCAGCTGGGTTTGAATCTCAGAAGAGAAGTGAGTTCCTTCAAGGTTGTAGATACGGCTGATTTGCTGACTGATGAGTGCTGACAAATACGAAACTTAGGTTTAAGGCTCCCTGCCGACTGCCTCCAACCTTCGAATATCAAACAGCGTACTCATTTGTTCATTCATTGTATTGATTACTGAGTGAGTTTATCACCTTTGAAAATGGGACAGTATTTAGTGAGTTTGTGCGCTTACAAGACAATCGGAGTAATGAAGATATCGATATTAGGGGGTGTGCAATAAGCAGCGAACTGAACTCAAGTATTTTTACACGAAGTTAAGATAAACGTCTATTTTCAGTGACCGGAGAAAAGCTGTTTTCTATGACGTAGATCATGGTCAGTTCCCATCCAGCGAAGAAAATTCTTTTTTCGACGATTTCGTTTTCATAGCTGTACAATGGTATATATACATATATTAAAACAGTAAGTCCCTTTGATAATTTTGAATAATGCATTTAGAAGACAAATTTCGCGAGATGATATCTTCATTTTGTAGTTTCTTTACAACCTCCTTATAACTAACATGGTTCACAATAATAATAAAATAAAATGCATTACAATTACTCAGTTATATAAAACCATCCAAGGGTGATCAAATTATGCAGTTGTCAGCTTAAAGACTTAGGTCAGCCATCAAGCGCACATTCTACGCCTCACTGCTTCCCCTTACATCTCGATCATTTTCTATTCTTGTACGTACGATTAAATGAAGAAATTCTGTGGACTCTACATGTATCTACTGTATCTACCTGTTCACCTGCAGTTGCGGTGACACCTATTTAGGCAGAACCAATAGAATGTTCCAATGTCGTGGTCGAAAAGAACATGTTCCAAAGTGGGTATTAAAACACATAGAAAATCCCAATACAGTTAATCTGAGTAGAAATTCAGCATCATCATCCATTGCAAAGCACTTATTAATTTCAGGTGACAAAATCAATATTAATTAATGACTGTTTCTTAATTATTCCACATAACTCTAATTCAAGATTGGTTATTGAAGGTGATGGAAGCACTTTGGGGGATTAATCACATACATCCTAAACTATGTATACAAAAAACAAACGACTTCAGTTAATTATTTAACTGAATTTTAGATTTTCCCGTCGATTGACTGAACCGAAGTGCTAGGTCTCAGGTTGACATGTCGGCTTCTTGTGCAGATGCTTCGGCGATGTCTGGGCATTTAATTAGAATTTAACTGGTGGATGGTGACTAGCAGTGGAATAGAGGATGCGCATTTTGTCAAGTTTGGGACTCGTCATCTGGATGTACCTGCACTTGGGTTCAGTCAATCGACAGAAAAATCTAAAATTCAATTAAATAATTAATATGACCCGTTGCACAAGAAGTGGCTCTCTTGGCCCAAGTGGTCTAGTGGATAACGCTTTGGCGTTTGAAACTATAGGCACTGGGTTCGAGCTTCGGTGAGAGCACCATCAATCACTGCGGAATGCAGGCACAGCCAGTTAGCTAACGAGTTCTCGAACTGATGTCAGCTCATGATGAAATCCTCCATCCAATCAAACTAAATCCCGACAAAACCAATACTTGAAAATTAATCTGATGCTCACCAGCGACTGGCCCTATTCAGGCAGTGACCTGGGGTTCTAGTGGGAAGCCGTGACCAGTAGGGTACAGCAGGTTGAAAGTGAGGCAGTAACTCATCGAACAAAACATTGAGAAGTGGTCGTGCTTTGTCATCAATT